AGACGTGTGCTCTTCCGATCTCAATTTGTATGATCTCATATTTGTTTTTGGACAACTTTTATTTGTTAAAATAATATTTTTGATTTAGATAAGATGTACCTAATGTACGATACACATGTATATACTTGGCGTAAATTTTTTTTAATGATTAGTGTCTCGATAACTATTGCGAAGATAGTAAAATGATAGAGGACTTTTTTATTCAGTTTGGTCCACACTACCTCCCCACAAGCGCTGTATCATTGAGTACGAGACACCCTGTATAATATAAAACTACTTGTACAAAATAATATTCTATAAACGTAATTAATTTTTATTGATATAATAGTTTAAAGTAATAAATGCATGACATGCACGTATGATAATTTTGCATAATTTAATTATATTATATAATATTTTATTGAGATATAAATCCATATAGTAGTGAAATTTTTATAAAATTTCAGGTGTCATGCAGAGACAAGCAAAATAAGTCCGGCATTTAATGTGTTAATGTTTCATTTTTTTTCTGTTTTTTTATTGTTCTATTTTCATTGATTTAATTTCTATCTTATTTTAAAATTAAAAGTGCTCTCTTTAAAAAACTTTAATAAACAAATTGCGCCTTAATTGTATCAGTTGTGCCGAACCGCCCATCTATCATTTCCGGCCTCTCGCAGGCCGTCATTGTTCGCGATATCCCAAAAATCCACTAATTGTAGAGCTGTAAATGATTTAATTGTAGATCCAAGGTGCGAATAGCAAAGTGGCACGCTATAGCGCGTGCCTAATGCCCAAACTACACTAATATCCGCGGAGAATTTTCGAGAAGACCTTTTTTAGAGATTATCGTATCTTGGATTAATTAACTGAAAATTCACTGGCATCGGAATCGCGAATATAGATGTGTGCGAATCGAGCATTTGCATGGTCAAATCAAATCGAATCTTTTTAATTCGAGTACGAATTGTATCTGAATCAAATTTTCCCAGATTTACATTACATGCTAATTTAAACATAATAAATATCAAAATTTATGATTTACGCAATGTTGATTTTGGTGTTATTTAGCGCTAGCGAGGATCCACGGCGATGATGTGAGGAAGGTAAGGCTTCGCCCACGTTCCTCACACACATATACATTTTTTTATCCACTCAGGAACATGCGCGAAGTTTTATCTTCCTCGCATCTTCGCCGTGGGCCCTCGCTAGCGCTAAGTAACAAAAAAATCAAATGAGCATCACTCTACTAAAAAAAAAAATTGTAGAGATCATTGAGGTCTCTAAAAACGATCTCACGTTCTTCTTGTCTCGAAAAGTCTTTCTTTCAAACAAGTCCTCAATTGACCTCACAAGTCATTAAAAAATTTTAATCCTTTCCCGGAGAGTTGAAGTGAGTGTTTTCAAGGTTAAATGATATATTACGTCGTAAATGTATCAATTTCAATCCAATATTTCGAACCGTCCAGCAATTATTTAGGTGGCCCCGAACTTTTGGCAGTCTATGTAGATTATTTTTACAATAAATTGTACAATGCATAATAAATAAAAAATAAATATTAAAAACATTTGAAAAACATTTCTGCTGATTAAGTAAGGATTTATAAAAAAAAGATTATTTGTGTCCTTCTTTTTATCCTGTTTTATTAGTTTAAATATTAAGTTTAAGTAATAAGTAATTATAATAATAATAACCCCGCTTTTTACCCCACCTACGTCAAAAACACCATTAAATTTACATTTATAATTTTTTAGTTTACAGTAAAGTATTAAAATATAAATGGCGGTTCTCCATTAATTGCGGCTGACACTTTTTCGTTCTGTATGATAGTAACATGATTACCCTCGATGTAATGTACTTTCACCACATTTTGAGTTATCTTAAATAAATATATATACATCATTAAAAAAAGTTGCATTAAGTTTTAATTATCACATACTGATAAGCGTATATGTTTTTTAAATACCTTCTGCAAACCATAATCATCCTCGGTTATGGGTACAGGTAGCGGATTTGTAGGTTTTAACAATATTATAGGAGATTTGATAGGCAGTAACGTAGAATCAAATTGTTTCATAGCAGATGAATATTTATATATATTTGTGCACAAAGTCTTTAAATTTTCATATGAGAGCGATGTAGTTATGGTTAAGAATTGTTTGGCGAAAATATTATATCTCTCTTCCCAAGTATTACATTTCTTTAGCTCCATTAAAATCTATGTCAAAAAATATGTTTAATTTGTATATATAAACTGTTTTGTTCTAGTGTATATAAATTTTACTTCAAAATAAAAAACACTTGAAATACGAAAACAACAAACAAAACAAAAAGATTGATATGGTCGATATCTATCAAAAAATACAAACATATACACTACCCCCGAAAAGTTTCTGGACAGAAACAAAATTTTATGTTGAAGTTTTAAGCCTCTGAACTTAATGCGACACTGTGCTAAATCAAAGAGTAGATGATTTTGCCATATTAAGAGATATTTTAAGACTCTGTAACAATTTTAAGTTTAATGCAGCCCTACTACTTTAAACACTTAAATCTGAGAGGCATGTTTACCATACTGAAAATTGCAATGTATGACATAATGCATGACATAATGCCTTGGGAAAATTTTTCTTGGGGATGCGATTTGCAGCGTTATAAAGTTTAAACTTTACTCTTTAATTTGAAAAAAAAAATTCAAGTCGCTACGATTTTTTTCACAAAGTTAGAACATTTTAAAGCAACCCTTGTATTTTTCTCACGTACGATCGGCATTACCCGATATGTACCATAGGAAGTTTGGCGATCGGATTTTGCACACTGTGTGTGTGTGTATTTTAAACATGCTCGCACGCACAATGTGCAAAATTCGATTTCCAGCCTACCTATAGCTCACATC